GAATTTTATTATATTTTATTTGTTCATGGATTTAAGATTTTCAGATTGCAATAGTTCGAGATTTAAAGAATTTAAGTTTTTGAAGCTTTTAAGATTCTGAGATTTTTACAGCATCACCCGCATCGCCAGCATGCATAACATCATCTGCATCATCCGGAATGATGCTGGCAATGCTGGGGGTGTTGTCCAGTATTAGGCACCCCCCAAGAAGCGCTCGTTTTGTGACTCTGCGGGGAGATGCTACAAAACTCCTCAAAAATCGCTTAAACAAATCCGCAAATCCTTCGCCCCTTATAAGGGAGGGCCCAGCATAAACGTATGCGCATGTTCTGGTCATGGTCCGGTCTCATGGTCGGCGGCATGGGGCGCGCGGCCTTATACCTGAAGGTAAGCCCTACCGGGCTTTGGCCTGCGGCCCGATCACGTCCGGTGGCCGGATTTAAGGGCTGCCGCCCAGTGCCGCCGACCCCTGGATTTAGTTGTGGTTTTGGAGCCACAAAAAACAGTGCCCTGGGTTTTGATTTCTTTGGTTTCTTTTCGGTGAAATGTTAGTGGCCCCAAAAGGCTAATCTTGTATTTCAGGGTTTTGTTTGCATTTTTGAAGACACGAACAGGGACTGTGACTTGCTGGGCAACAAATGATCCCTATCATGATCACTATCATCGTAGCATCCTCTGCATCACCAAGGGTGCCTAGCGATGATCATGACTATGCATCACTATCGAAACGGCACCTTGCCTCAGATGCCATTTGTGTCATTGAGATTTGGAGTCCTGCCTTGATGATAATCATCACTACGCATCATTCGCAGCATCTGTGGCAATCATGAGGATAATCATCACTACGCATCCCCAGCATCTCCAGCAGCGATGATCACAATCATGACTACGCATCACTGTCGAAACGGCACCTCGCCTCAGATGCCATTTGGGTCATTGAGATTTGGAGTCCTTGATGATAATCATCACTACGCATCATTCGCAAGAAACCAAAGAAACCAAAACCAAGGGCAGTGTTTTTGGTTGCTCGAAAACCACAACTAAATCCAGGGGTCGGCGGCACTGGGCGGCAGCCCTTGAACAAGAATGAGATGATGATGAGCATCATGATGATGATGAGAAGAGCGATGACATCATAATAAGGATGATCATGATGATGATTATGATGATAACTATCATCGTAACGCCCTTTGCATCACCAGTGCTGCCTAATAAGAGATGATAATGACCGTGATGATAATGATGACAAGGATGAGGACTGTGATGATAACTATCATCGTAGCATCCTCGGCATCACCAATGCCGGCTACTAAGAGACGATGATGACCATGATGATTACGATGACAAAGATGAGGGCTGTGATGATATATATCATCGTAGCATCCTCGGCATCATCAGTGCCGACTAGCAAGAGATGATGATGACCATGATGACAGTGATGATAAGGATGAGGACTGTGATGATAACTATCATCGTAGCATCCTCTGCATTACCAATGGGGTCTAACGTTACTTTTGAAATGCGTATAAGAATAAGAATAAGAATAAGAACAAGAATGAGATGATGATGATCATCATGATGATGATGAGAAGAGCGATGACATCATAATAAGGATGATCATGATGATGATTATGATGATAACTATCATCGTAACACCCTTTGCATCACCAGTGCTGCCTAATAAGAGATGATGATGACATCCTCGGCATTACCAGTGCCGGCTAATAAGAGATGATAATAACCATGATGATAGTGATGATAAGGATGAGGATTGTGACCGTCGTAGCATCCTCTGCATTGCCAATGGGGTCTAACGTTACTTTTGAAATGCGTATAAGAATAAAAGAACAAGAATGAGATGATGATGATCATCATGATGATGATGAGAAGAGCGATGACATCATAATAAAAATGATCATGATGATGGTTATGATGATAACTATCATCGTAACACCCTTTGCATCACCAGTGCTGCCTATGATGATGATCATCATGATGATGATGAGAAGAGCGATGACATCAAAATAGGGATGATCATGATGATGATTATGATGATAACTATCATCGTAACACTTTGCATTACCAGTGCTGCCTAATAAGAGATGATGACATCCTCGGCATCACCAGTGCCGGCTAATAAGAGATGATAATAGCCATGATGATAGTGATGATAAGGATGAGGACTGTGATGATAAGTATCGTCGTAGCATCCTTTGCATTGCCAATGGGGTCTAACGTTACTTTTGAAATGCGATGACATCATAATAAGGATGATCATGATGATGATTATGATGATAACTATCATCGTAACACCCTTTGCATCACCAGTGCTGCCTAATCAGAGATGGTGATGACCGTGATGATACTGAGGACTGTGATGATAACTATCATCGTAGCACCCTTTGTATCACCAGTGCTGCCTAATAAGAGATGATGATGACATCCTCGGCATCACCAGTGCCGGCTAATAAGAGATGATAATAACCATGATGATAGTGATGATAAGGATGAGGACTGTGATGATAAATATCGTCGTAGCATCCTCTGCATTGCCAATGGGGTCTAACGTTACTTTTGAAATGCATATAAGAATAAGAACAAGAATGAGATGATGATGATCATCATGATGATGATGATGAGAAGAGTAGCATCCTCTGCATTGCCAATGGTGTCTAACGTACGGCATAACCAGGGCGGCTCGAGACTTACCCCACGGGCCCAGTATCCCCAGCACTCCTTGTGCCGAACAGTAAGGGGCTCATTTTTTGAGATAGCGCCCCCTGCGCCCAAGCCTAAATGAGTCCCCTGTGTGGCAGCTACAATGGGCCAGAGCGGGGCGTTAAGCCCCAATCTTCAGGGGCCGGGGGGGGCAGTCATCATGATCATCATGTCCACGCAGCTTTTGCATGTCAAACCCCCTCTAACGCCACAATTGAAACGTATATCAAAAAATAAGGATGATGACGAGGATGATGATGTTGAAGGATATAGAAATGATGATGATGATGTTGACGATAAGAATGATGAAGGATCATATCGATGATGATGATGATGATGATGATGGGCATCCGTATGATGCCAGTAGTCATATGCTTGCCTCAAAGATTAATCCATGCGCTTGTACTGCAACCACCCTTCCCGTGCGCCTCCCCCTTTGAGGAGAAGGGGTCGGCGGATTTTTGGGAGCAACGTACAGATGACTCGTGGCTCAGGTGAAGAGTTGGTGAAGGTGTTGCTGAAGCGTCGAGCAAATCCGAATGCGAGAGCCAAGGACTGGATGCGTCTCAAGGCGTCTCGTTACGGGCGAAGCTTGCCGGCTGGGCGCCTTGGTCAGGATAAGGGGAGCTGCCTCATGCTCGCCGCCGAGAAAGGCCCCGCGAAAATGCGAGAAGCTTCTGGCTGTGCGAGGGATAAGCCGACAGGAGATTTGAAGATCGTGAAAACCTTGCTATCCAAGAAGGCTGATGCGAAAGCCTCGGCCGGCGCGGCGAACTCTGAAAGTGCGTGTTGTGATGCGCCAAGATCAACGCAAAAAATGTGATGGGTGCGGAGCACAGCCTGCGAGACCTCTGTGCAATTGTCTGTGTGAGTGTACGGGGGGATGAATCATGAACCAAACAATGAGCTGCAGATGACTGCCAAGGCAACAGCTCTTTGCTTTTGAGCGTGATGACTACCAAGGCTGTGCTTGTTGAACTTGTGCGGTTGGTTCCACTCTGTGCAGAGTCATGGATCGGACAGGACACTGTCGCACGTTTTTTGCTGAACTCGCAAGCTGACTGCAATGCCAAGAACAAGGCATGGGTGAAGGTAGTGTGCTGTGCAGTGATGTCTCAGATACGCCTGTCTTGATGATTCGCGCAGTGCCACCCAAACACACATGCTGACGTTCCCTTGTGAAACGAATCAGTCTGCACAGGATGGCACTACCGTAAGGACCTTAGCCTCGAGACAGGTATGTCTTTTTCAGGTTGGACCTTTGCAAGTTTGGCTTCGGCTTTCATTTTGGTTTCCGTTTGAAGCCCATCCAAACATGGGGGTACCAACTCCAAAGAGAGAGTGCTTAAACCCGCAAGGCTCTGGACTTCGCTATCAAGCTCAAGATGGGCCCGGTAGAAACCTCAGGTGTTGCTCTTGTCTCCGGTTGCACAAACAACTGGCAGCTTCGTGGTGCAAATGTGTTCAAGCAATGAGCTTTTGGATGAAGCCCAAAGCAGCTGGTTTAAATACTGGTTTGTCTTTCCATTAATTATGGGCATCTCTTTGGAGGGTACCTTTTTGGTGGTTCTTTCAAGGGGAACCGAAAGGAACGCCAAGATCCATTTCGGGGGTTCACATCCTTAAGAAGCACCACAAAAAACATCTCCCATATTGTTTTATTTAAACAACAAATACTCTCCCATATAGAGAGGTGGTTGGCCTTGACTCTGACATGAGCATCCCATCGCAGCTCAAGAGCTTGCTGGACGTGCTGACTCGGAAGAGTCAGGCGCGAGCCCTGAGAGCTGAGAGCAAGCACGGAGTGGCGTTCCGTTTTTTTTTGAAGGGACGCCACCAGAAAAAAACTGCCATGGGGTTCGGAACCCGGTCTCCTTTTACCACATCACCAAGCCAAAGTTGGAGCCAGAAAGTCGGACGGACCCGGATTTGCCCCGATGTTGGCCAGGGCTCCTACCACGGATGGGTGAAATCTACAAACGCACACTTTGTGGTTTGTTGGTAAGAGGGGAATCGAATCATTCCAGGGTGTCTTAGGTGGTGCGAAATGGATTTCGTCCATCCACAGTAGGGTTCGACTTGGCGGCTTTGATGCTCTCGAGCTTCAGTAGAAAGTGATTGCAAGGATCGTGGTGGAGAGGATGATGACCGCCTCTAGACCGCCACAATTGTACATAGGACGGTCCGAGTCGGGTCTGTGACTCGGCTCTCGCGCAAAGCTCCGCGATCGAAAAATGCGGCAATTGGGCGATGTTCTGTATTCACTGGCGTTTGCGCGCCAGGCGTCTACGCGCCAGGCATGCAGCTTCAGAAGAGGAATGGCTAGGGCCAAAGCGGCATCAAGAGAACAGACATTGTTGGGGACGTGACAATTTTGGCCGTGTTAGCGCTGCTTGCGTCGGCGAGGCATGCATCGTGTCAAGCATGCCAATGTGGCGTCGGTGGCGCAGGCTTTGAGTGATAGCATGTGCGACCCCTGTGACATGTGTGCATGGACCAGGCAACTGTGTGGTGCTTTTTGGAATCTTGCCGTTTGCACGCCGATATGTCTTGACACTGGGGGACTGACGGGCACAGGAATGCCAATCATTGCAGACCATTCGTGACCGTCGCTGGAGTCGCCGGCTTAGACTGCGGTCGCAAGCTTTCTGATGATGTGAACGCATATCCAATGAAACTCAATTTCAGGCGACAGCCCAAGAGTTGGCTTCAGCCTCGGTAGCTCACAATTGCCAGATTCTTCTTAGCAGGGTTTGAGGTGTAGTCTGCAGTTTGCAGGTGGGTTTGCATTTCTTCTCGGACCAGAATTTCAAGCCGGTGCGAGATCAATTTGTAGGCCTTCATGATCTCCTTGACTGCAGCAATGTTGGAATGCAGCTGCGTACGCTGTTCGGAGCACCATTTTGCCCACATGCCCTCGCCTCGCCTGCAGCTTCCGTGGTCGACAAAGACATCGTGCTTAAGGAAACCTGTGTGGAGGAGCGGCCTCGTCTTCAAGAGTTGTATGTATGTGCTTCCTTAGTGCATGTGCTTTTCGTGATGGCTCCTGACCCTAGAACCAAAGCAACAAATCGCCGTTTTCGCAGGACCTAAATGTTGTGAAGCAGCGCACAGCAGGTGGAGTCGCGGCCTCAAGCCGTTGACTGACCGCTTGATTTGCTGTCGCTTCTCGAGAGGTCCCAGTCTATCAGTTCAAGACGACGCTTGTCGGCACTGAGAAAAACTTGGCAACGAAGCTGCACTGAACTGAGTCATTGGCCAGAAATGGCTGTGGGTCAAAACCAATGGTACCAAATTGGGGTAGGTGCACCACCCACTTTAGTCGATTTAGTGGGGATTGGGGATGTTCACTGGGGGTACGGGATTTTGACCCATGGCCAACTCTTGGAGGAAATTGCTGCTGAAAGCCCTGGAAGAGGCAGAAGCAGAGGAAGCACTTGGTTTGGCTGGTATTGTTGATGGACCGCTCTGAGAGATTCTTGCAGGAAGTGCTGCTGATTTCAGACGTGGACATTCAGTTTTTCCGCGAGGCAGAGAATAAGGATAAGCAAGACAGAGGAGGTAGCCACATGAATAGGTATCGATTACACAACAATGAAGACTGCACCCGTTCAATATGGGCTGCAAGTATGCCATCCTCATTGATGGTTCTCCAATTGGACATCAGAAGCACGCGCGTTGCTTGGGACGCTGCAAAACATTTTGATGCTTTGTTTTTTGCCTCCTGCTCAGGCTGCCCCAACAGTTGGGTCAATATTTGAGCTCACTTTTGGTCGCTGCAAGTGTCGCTGGCGGCTCTGGGAGCTGTGCCACTGATGTGTCACGCTCAGCAAGTTATCCCGCCTCAAGCCGCGGCCAAGCTGCAACCTGTTGTTTTTTTTACATAGACCCTGCCTCAACCGTGCTTCAAAGTCCAAGTTTTCTGTAAACCTCATGGAGCGCACAACGTCATCCTTCAAAGTGCAGACTTGGGCGGCGCCTGGGCTTGGTGCGAGCGCTGTCATTTTGGATGTTGTCTCTACTCCCTTTAGGGTCCAGCGAGGAAAGGCGTATAAGTGGCATGCCAGTAGCCTACGCATTACCAGCCGCAGCTTGTTCATCCATGCCCGAAATGACTTTACGCATTTGCGTTTCCACAACCTCCTTCCAGAGTTCTCGTACTGGCAATTTTGGGGCATTGCTGGCATCCTTGATCTCGCTACGCGATCCGCCGCCGCCGTCTGGTGCGACGACTGACGCAGCTAACTGCCTCTCCTCCAGAGAATGCGGAGGATGCATACCAGGGACTGAATGTCCAAGCCCAAAATGTCATGAGGACAAAAAAAACATCCAAATACTGGGGATTGTGGTGTGAGGAATGCAGGGAATGCAGGGAATGCTGGGAATGCTGGGAATGCTGGGAATGCTGGGGATGCAGCGTCCAGTGTTTCTCGAAAACCCTCCCCCCCCTGGACCTAGACCAACCACTCGTTTGGCGATTGAAGCAAAGCACTTAGACACCCGGAAAATTCCAAAGGAAGAGCAAGTTGCAGATTGCCATCTACATGCTCGACTGGCGTCAGCGCATTTTGCACTTGTCGCAGGTGATGCCTTTTGTACATCAGGCCAGCCGCAGTGCAAAATAGCCAGTGACGTTGACGCAGACAAAGCCTCACACACACACATATATTATCACGCACAAGAAGTGTTCGTTGAGAACACATCCGCAGGGCATCGCTGGAAGAGACATTTGCTTCCAGCGCGAGTTCACCAAGCTTGGTCAGCTTCTAAACCGGGACAGCAATGACCTGCACGGCGGTAAGAGTCCTTTGACTCTCCTTCCAAGGTGTCAATATTGGCTTTGTGGCAGTAAGGCGCAAAGTTCCGCTTTTGGACTACCCCGAGATAGACTTAAACGCAGAGTTCTCCTTTTTGGGGGAATGAACCACCCCTGTGTTGAAGTCTACCCTGGGGTAGTCAAAAAGTGGAACCCTGGTCAGGCGAACAACTGCCACCATGAACTTTTGGCAAGCCTGGCAAATTATGTTGCGCATATCCCAAACTTCGCAGTCAGAGATATTGCCAGGCACCAGGTTTTGAAAGAGCTCCCGACAGGACGTGCTGAGCTTATTCGTGCATTCTCTCTTTGACCGCGAAGAAGCTTGTGCCTTCATATATTTTAGATGCTTGAGTAAACCAAGGTCATGACCAGCGCATTGTCTTGATCTTGGTGTCATTGTGTCTACATTGGCAAAGGCAAGCAGCGAGACTTACGCGAAACCCTTGAAATTCAACACCTCACATTGGCAGCAAGCACAGCAAATCTGTTTGTTTTGTCTTGAACGTAGGGAGCGGTGGCATCGCAGAATAGCTTCTAGCTGCAAGGTTGGACTGATACCCAAGGGGTGGTCGATTTCCCCAAAAGCGAAGTTCCTGGGTTTTAGTGTAGCCGGGTTTAGGTTTCCTTCAGAGAATGCCTTCAAGGTTAACAACCTGCTCTATACCGAACAAGTCCCCGATCTGCGCGAGTCCCAGCTCGAGGCGAGTGGAATGTGTTGTGACTGCGCCCGAAAGTGTCCCAGCAGGCGCTGGTCATGCTTCCCTCCTGAGATTTGGGCCTCCTCTCAGGCGCTATGTTTGCTTCTTTGTTCTTGGCAAGTGTTTTAGTTTTTTGGTTCTGTTCATTTTTAGTAGGGGGCTGTAATTGCTACCATACCAAGGGTTATGAAGTTTGGTTTTTTGCTGCAGACTGGAGCCAGGCCTTTGATTCTGTCGGCATTCCCGATGGGATTGCCTTGCACCATGCCAACTGGATAGCCTTGACCATAGCCTGTCACGACAGCGTAGCTGCGGAGGGAGGTATGTAGGCAAGCATCAGAACTTTGCACCAAGATCCGTGACTACGAAGAGGGAGGCGGGGTGGGTGGACAATCATGTGTGCACATTCTGAGACCTGGACAATGGGTGTGAGAGGTGCAGACGCCTCGAACCCGTCTGGACCCCAGTTTTCTCAGACGAATGAGGTCAGTTCAAAGTTGAGTTCTCCGCAAGCAATTCGCTCTGGTCACTTGATCAGCTTCGCTTTGTACCCTGGTCAAAAAAACTCTTTTGCTTGGAGGTTGGTGAGGGTCACGCATCCCATAGGGACACACCCATGCTGCGCATGGTTGGCTTGCATTTGTGTTTATCCCTGGCCTGTCTCGAAACCAGATGCGCCCTGCTGGACACCGGTTTGCTTCTTTTAGACTTTTTTTGAGGGGTAGTTATTTTTTCAGGTACATCTTCGCCATTTTGGGGGTTTCCGAAAGAAAAGATGAGCACGCCGTGTAAAGAGTTCCATTTAACGGAGCCTTTGCCATGAGTTTTGTCCATCTGAGGGCTCCCAAGCTGCAGCAGCTGGCCGAGTTCCGACGGGCCGTGCTGGAGGCCACTGGTATGGGGTGGGACCACTAGACAGCCACTCAGTACTTGAAGGGGCGATCGATTCGGTACGTTGGGTAAGTGGTTAGCAGGGCACAACCCACCCAACGGAGACTTACAACCAAGGTAAACTTATGTACCACTTACTGAGTCCAATGCCCCTTCAAGCATAAGGTCTACCCATCCTTTTTCTCACTGGGGTGGTTTGGTAGACCGTGTTAGAACCCAAAGTGTTGAAGTTTGAGGAACAACTCTCTGACGATAGCTGGTGTTGTGCAGGATATCTGCTGTCTTGTTTGGAATGTCTCGAATCGAAGGACGATGCTCAGACAATGCAAGCACTAGTGCAACGAATACGCAAAGATCCAGCCAGGGCCCAAAAGACAATGATATTGCAACTGACATTTCTATAGAGTTGTTATTTGCGCAGCGTGAGGATCTTGAGTCCTACCACCAAAGGCAACTGCCTGAGCTCAGCTGGCATGACTACCTGCATTCGATCGCGCTCAGGACTTTTGGCGAACTGAGATATGGGCCTGAGTGGGTGGTCTGCGGCTGAGACTGGCAACGTCAAGAAATGCATGGGTCCCTCAACATTCGACGTGTGAATGCATGTCCAGCTTGGCAGCTGTTCCTCAGCTCTCAATTAAGTGTATCCCGAGTCAAACATTTTGCTTGACGTTGGACTTCAGGCTGAGAAATTTAACAGTGCATCTCTTATCAAGAGTCAGCTCAACTTGCCATGAAGCTTGCTACGCCAGCTGCTGATGCACTGTGATGTACGCAAGCGCATATCGCCAGTATAGATGCTGGGACAGGTCCCGGGCTGAGCGGTCTGGGACAGCCTGGGGCTGGTCCTGGGACCACCATGCCGTCTTCCGTATGGGACCTGTCCTGGAACTGGTCCAACGGATCCTGGGACTGGTCATCATCGTCTTGCATCCCGTATTTCCGCGTCTGACAAATCCGCCGCCCTCTGCCCGTTTTCCCGCACCAAACGTGGATGCAGGACGTACCACGTGATTTGAAAGGAAAACGGTCACGCCTTGAACATGTGTCAAGCAACACAGCCGATGCCAACATCTGGAGAATGTAGAAGAATTGAACACAAACAAGGATGGTCTGGAGCAAACCATTCAAACCATTTAAAGCCCGCGGAGGAGACTTCCTGAAAGTTGATCTCAATTCTTAGGTCAGGACACGATCAACGGACAGGGAAGCACGGGAAACAGACTTGCTCAGTCCAAGGGTACACCATAGCGGGCAACCAGAGCCTGAGAAATCGCCAAGTCACCAGCATCCAGACAGCCCAAAAAGGCATGGGGATCCCATCCCGACACAAAATCAGAGGGATGTCAATATTCAAAAGAACACTCGGTGTCAAACAAGCGCGCCCAACCAGTGTGATGGGAATCAATGGATCCAAGGCCCCCTAGCCCCCTAGCCCCCCACCTTTTCCGCGCCCCTCTGTGGCCTAGGAGGCGCATTCCCAGTTCTTTTCAGCAACGACCAGACCGACACCACGTGGTTTGTTTTTTTTTGTTTTTTTTTTTGCGAGCCTCGGATTTTGAGCCTGAAATTCAGTCCCTGACGGGATTGAGCTTCAAGGATTCTGGAGGAAGACTCCCATACCTACCCTCTACACTTTTGTGTAAGCCTGGGTGAATCTGTGATAACTGCACAAAACACAGGCGCAGCCTGAGGGCTGGTGTGTTTTCTAAACTGACTGTCGTTCTGGAGTGTTTAGTGGTAGTTTCCATTCAACCACTAAAAGTTAAACTTTTAGCGGGGCAGCCCAGAATTTGTTGGTCTGCAACTGGATGGAATCCTGTTCACGGGGGATGGGCCAAAACAGCGTGGGTCTCCCACAAAGCAGAAAGTCACTGGCCATTTGGCAAGGATAGGAGTGCCAAGCCTGGCTCGTGGATTACTCTTGTCTCAAGGGAACCCAAGAAGTAGTTTGAGAACTCAAACTCGAGCCGTTCACTTTAGGAACCCGACGTCGGGATTCTGCGAGGCGCTTCCATCAGGGCATCCAGCACGACCTGGTGGAGCTAGGAAGCGCAGAAGGCGCGCGGGCAAGGAACACTCCAGTACGGCTTGCGCAGCAGTCGCATAACCAAAACCACACGGAGCCAAACACGGGGTCCCTGTAAATGACTCATGGTTAGTCTAAGCCTGTGCAAATCTTCAGGGCACCGAGAAGGGTGGATGAGAACAACAATGACAGTAGCGACAACCGCAACATGCACGGCAACCGCAACAAGTGCAGTGACCATCATCACCACAGCCGCAACCTGCAACGTGAGCACGACTGCAACCAAGAACAACAAGAACTACCACGAACACAACCTTGGCAGCGACCACGACGGACAATGACCACAGTAACAAGAACAACAGCAAAAACAAGAACAACCACAAAAACAAGAGCAACCACAACCACAACCACAACCACAACCACAACCACAGCCACCACTCACCAGTCACCACCACTCACCACCACTCACCACCACTCACCACCACTCACCACCACTCACCACCACTCACCACCACTCACCACCACTCACCACCACTCACCACCACTCACCACCACTCACCACCACTCACCACCACTCACCACCACTCACCACCACTCACCACCACTCACCACCACTCACCACCACTCACCACCACTCACCTCCACTCACCACCACTCACCACCACTCACCACCACTCACCACCACTCACCACCACTCACCACCACTCACCACCACTCACCACCACTCACCACCACTCACCACCACTCACCACCACTCACCACCACTCACTCACCACTCCTCACCACCACTCACCACCACCACCACCATTATCACCGCGACCACGCCGCCGACGACATTTGCAGCAGCAGCAGCAGCAGCAACAACCACGACGACGACGACAACAAGAGCAGCAACACCACAACCAAAGCCACAGCCGCAAGCGCAACAAGGGAGCGGGAGCAACAACGACAGCATCAGAAACAACAACTGCACACTTGAGCAGCAGCAAGAACAGCAACAAACAGAAGATGAACAATGATAATGAAGAAGCAGAAGAGAGCTAGAAGTGCAAGAACGGCAAGACAGCAAGACAGCAACAGCAACAAGCAGAATAAGAAGAGCGTGAAGACTAAGAAGAACGAGAAGCGCAGGAACAACCACCAAGAACAAGAAGACAGACATGAAGAGCGAGAAGGGCAAGAAACAAAATCAAGAAGACCAATAAGCAGAGCCAGAAGCTCAGAAGAATGAGAAGACAAAGAAGAACTGTGGATTACTCACGGCAGAATTCACAAGTATGAGTTGCCATTGGGCTTTTGCTGCTGCTGCTGCTGCTGCTGCTGCTGCTGATGTTGCTGGTGTCGATTTATGTTGTGGTGTGTTGTTGGTGGCCACGGGGTTTGCTTAAAAGCCAGCAAAGACACGGCGTGCCCTTTGTTAATACTGCAGTCCTTATTCACAGTGCGCTTGTGATGGCTGTGCAGGTTGAACGCTTCAAGCCAAAGCAGTTTGAAGCTCAGCGTTCGAGGGCATGTTGTTTGTAAGTTCCAGACCTTCTGTGTCAGAGCCCATGAATGCGACGTAGATTCTGAGGACTCTGCAACACAGGCCCAGTCTACTCTAATCCACTGTCAGTTTTTGTGGCGGAGCACGACGAAGCCAAGAAAAGGGTTTGGTTTTGTTGAAAGCTCTGAAGGCCAGCTTTGTTCGATTTAACGCCAAACCGGATTTTGAGAATCTTCAGTACTTTCCGGGCGCAAACGAACATGTTGCTTCAAATGTTGTGTCTACAGGCTGCGCTGCGTGGCTTGGCTGCTGTGGCACCCGTTGCTTGACGCTTTGCGCGTGTCTTAGGTTAGCTTGCTGGTTGAGAACCCCCATCCTGGCGGCGCACCGCATCCTCCTCATTGTACATAGACAAAACTGCTTGGCGCATTTCGAAAATATTCATATGTATAGTTCCTGCTCTTCACACACTATTATTTTACAAATTAGAGGTTGAATGGTATTTTATAAACAAATATAAATTTATTGATATTAATATTATATTAATTTATTTGGTTGGATATTATATTTATGTATTAGACTTTCGATAAATTGTGTTTATATAAAATTATTGAATTTATGTGGTTTACAAATTGGTAGATTGATATTTATATGGATTGTAGTGTGAAATGTTGGTTTTATTATTTTTGTTTATTATTTAAATCGATTAAGGGTTTTGTAGTTTTTGTTTTTTGGTAGATATGGTTAGTTTTGGAGTTAAAATAATTGTGATTTGGAAAAAATGTATGATTTATGATTGAATAGTTGAATATAAGGAAAATTCTATTTTTGAAATTTGGGAATTTATAAATTTTGATTGTTTATTTGTTTGTTTATATAATATTGGATATGTTTATTATTATTATTATTATTATTTGTTTGAATTAATTATTATATTTTGGTGGTATTTGGTATTTATATGATGTTATTGTTTATTGTTGTTGTATAGGAGTTTTTTGTTTACGAAATTTTGTTGATATTATGAAATGATTATATTTTGATATAAATTGTTTGTTAGAGTATTTTTAATATAATTTATATTATTATATATATATATATATATTTATATGTATTTATTAATCTTTTTATAATATCTTATTTTAAATTAAATTATTTTATATATGTTTTTTAATCTTAACCCTAAGCTTAAGTTAAGCTAAATCCCGAAACTTACCATAAATTAACTTTGGATTTACTTTAAATTAATTTATTAAGCTTAAATTAATTCCGAACCATATTCTAAGCACTTACTACCTAACTACTCAATTACCTAACTATCCTACTAACCTATTACCCCCTTCCCCACCTTACCCCTATAGGGGGGGGTTGGGGGCTTGGAATAATTATAAATTAATTGGATATTTGGTTAGTGAGATTAATTTAATATTTATAAATATTATATTATAAAATTTATATTAATATAAAATTATAATTTGTTGGGTTTTTGGTTTATCTTATTATTTAATTACAGAATGAATTGTTTATTTAAAATCTCGATTGTAGTCTCGTTATTATGATATATGTAACTTAAATTATTAGTAAAATTATACTAATAGAAAACAAATTACTCGTTAATTTCGTATATAATAGGATTATCCTGGATTTCGATAGAAGATCTAATAATTACAAGGAGTACCGGATATACATCATAGTCTATTATCGGAAAATAAGCCTATAAAATTGAGGCACGAGTGAATGAAAGCTAGTAGTTGTTGCATGAGATGGGTCGGTGATAGAGTGGATTCATGGGTAGTTTGTGTACAACGAGAGGCCCGGCAAGATTCGTAGGATGCGACACGCAAACGCACATGGTGGCGTGGCAAACCTTGAAAGTTTTAAAAACTTCTAGGTTCTACATGCTACGTATGCAACGATTCTTGCGAGGTGGTTTACTAAGAAGACTAAGGTCTCAAATAAAGAAGCTAAATCGATAGAACATGTAAAAATTCGTAGCACCAAGTCCAAAACATTGAGCCACTGCCCAAGGGGGGGGGGGGGATGGATCAGGGAGGAATCGAGCCTAGGACCGGGGGGGGGGGGGTCTAAATAATTAATGGTTTTCAATCTTTTCGGCTCAAATAATTAAAAAAAAAAAAAACAATCTTTCGGCATTTAAGTCCCTTACCTTACTTACACAAAGAGAAATTTCAACTAGCTAAAGCTAGCTTTCGTAATTAGCTTTCGAACAAATATTTTCATAACTCGATCAAACTTTCAAATATCCCATACCTTCGAAAAATTCTTCTATAACCTAAAAAACCGCACCAAAACAACCTCCTCTTTTATTACACCGAACATCGTAAACATCTCCGACAAATCGAATGCCATAAAATCATTATCCCAACAATTAGCTAAGCCGGCCTTACAGCCAAATAACACCAACTAATCATAAGGCAAGTTAATAACAATTCTTCGCTCGAGAAAATGGAAAGAATATTCTATTACCTCCTCGACCAAAATTATATCGGCAAAGACAAGCATAACAATATCCAACACTAGATTCCTCATCAATAAAATTACTATACGAAATCCGCCACGACTCATTAGGCCTACGACGACGAGCTCTATTATAATCACGATATTTATAACAATAAGGAAAACACCTCTTAGGAGAATTAGCACAATAACACTTACCCCGAGCAGCCCACCGAAAAGGAACAACCACAATATGTTAACGAAGAAATCTTTTTCGACGAGGACCACGAATACACCTACAACGAGAACGAAGAGGAGGCTTACGCCACCTATATCGACCCGAAAGCAGCTGACTAAACATCATAGCGCTCGAGGATATTACCCGGTGGTCGCTCTCACCGATACCAACGCCCTGTCCATCAACTCTACCTTATCATCTCTACCACCACATGGCGGCAGAGGAAAATCCTCGAAGGGCAAACACTTCAAGAACAAGGACAAAGGAGTCGGAGGATGCCCATCCCAAAAGGGATCCCTATCTCAAAGTGCTCGTGATACCCTCCTTCCTAGCAGCCGGGCCACTAGGCAGCTCAGTGCCCGCAAAATTTCCAATCGAACTCCCCGAACAAGCGGCCAAAACCGGCCGACAACATAATTGCCCAAAAGCAGACCGCCTACCTCGAGGACCATGTCGAGCAGCCCTACATCACCGACACGTAGGACGGCAGAGCGTCCAGCGTCCTATGCGATTATAACGTCCTAATGCAGCTCTTCGCCAAGCTCTACCACAAGGGCCTCCCCCTCGAGGAAATCCAATTCAACCGAACCAACACGAATTTTTGATTTAGGGAGGATAATAATAGCATTTCTATTTAATCTATGCACCTTCCGGTGTTTATGGCCGGCTACAAAGGCCGCATCCAGACCTTCATCGTGGAAAGAGATACACCCCTCCTGATCGGACGCCCGGCCCTGGAAGCCCTTAAGGTCAAAATCGATTATGATAAGCATCCTACAACCTCCTTAATGAACCCTAGCAGCCGACCACAAAAAGGCCAATAGGCGAGCATTTACTTCGCCTCGACGACGGTATCGAAAACACTATCTACCACGACCTCAGTTTCGACTACATAACCAACGACATAGTTACGGATATATACCAACACCTACTCCACACCCTAAAAAACTACATCATTAATATGGGTCGCCCTGGACCCATCTTACCTAAATTTGCCCAACACATTAATTGCACTATAACTAATAACCTACCCACCGATAATACCCCGGATTCCACAAAAGCGTCATGGAATCGGTATTCGGCGATACAATCATGTTAATTTCCATCTCAGCCAAGCCACCAAACACAAGCCGGACGGCAAGAAATTTTTCTAGGAAGAAATCTATGCCGGGGAGGGGAATCTCTCTCGGGTCATGACTAATCGCGACTAGATCGTCCACACCTTCGACCTCCCGGAATAGGATTTCACAAAATCTAATTTTACCAAAGCCTTCTACTAGCGGATACGGTCTAGCTCGCGCCACCAAGTAGTTTCGTATGCAAAATATCAACTAAAAGACCGCCGAATAAATCGAGCTGCTACACCTAGACCGCGCCTACTAGCACACGACCAACCTAAAGTTCACTCGCCGTATATATCTCTGTCAACAACGCGGCGAGCGGCAAGCCTACATCGAACAGCCCCTCTAGTCCCTAACATAAAACACCACCGCTTTCCAATTGGACGGCCATCGCGCCATCTTCGACCAGTGTGCCTACGGCATGGGTTTCTAAACCTCGGCCATTGTCTAGAATAATATCCGCACACCAACAGCTACGCTCTCCACATAACCAATCTTCGCGGCAATCCTAAACCTTAAATACCCTAGTAACCACACATATATATATCTATAAGGCCACTACCCTAACATCGAAAACCTCGTTACGGCTGCTACCATATATTAACTAAACATATACGAAACCATCAATAACGTTATCTACACCAATACCGAGTAGTATAAGGAGCATACCTATATCCAAAACAAAGACCTCGAGGCTCCTCCCGAGCCTGACTACAATCCGGACGAAGCTTATAGGGCACGATCGGCACCTTAACCCGGCTAACATCCTTCAGAAAATCCGACATAACAATCCGGTCGAAACCTAACGCCTAATAACCAAACTACATAGGAACCTCGGACACTCCACTCAAGCCAAATTCCTATAACTCCTTAAAACCAGAAGAACATCCGAGGCCATTATTACCAATACGAACTCTGTAATTGCTACGTCAAGCCAGCGTAACCACCAAAATCCACTACCGGACCGCTTTCGTGTGCAACCAACGCTTACAGACCGACACCCTGTGGATCCAAGTTCAAGGAAAACCAATGCCGGCGTTCACTATGCCAGACATTACCACCCGGCTCGAATTCTTCCAGCAAAGGTCCCCATCGCACAGGCAAACGACAAAGCCGACAGCATAACCAGGCCACGTCTGAAAGCAAGTAGCGGCTGAGAACAACCTCCAAGAAATGATATATGTCCGCGCGGCCGACAAGAACTACGGCGTCACCGGCAGCCCTTCTCAGACAATATCGCGGCAACTCCGAGCCCTTCACCATCGGCATAAAAGTCTACTAACCCAAGATCAAATGGAAGGGCCCCGCCACCATCGTCATGGTCGAAACCGACCACGAGACCGGCAAGCCCCGATGCTATTGGATCGTCCACGGATCTAACCTTCTCCATGCAACTCCCGAACGCATCCAACAAAATTTCGAGGACATGGCAAACCCCAACACCGAGCCATGGAAGATCCTTCAGGATCTTCGAAATCGAGGAACCACCACCTATATCGAGCTCTTCCGATCCAATAAGCGCAAAATCGACGATATGGTCTCCGATAATGAGAATATAAGACCCGAACCCAAAGCGATTATCTCCAGACCATAAACCTCTGGTCGACTACTGGGAG